AAAATAAAAGCGAAAACGTTTCCCTACACAATTTGCCACTCATAATATGGCGTATGGGATCCGGTTTTGTTCTATCTCCTCTGCGATTGGTCGGTTCTAAGCGATATAAAGATCTCGCGGACCTTCCTTTTCCTCTTTCTTTCACGCGACCCTACTGCGCGGTGAGTGTTTCACGTCGCTCCCTGAAAAGCACGACATTAGTCGGTGTTTAAATGACCCTTATGTTTTTAAAGAGTCTTACTGATGACATAAACACATTTTCTGTATATCTGAATACTTTACTGACTCGTATATTTTTTCTGATAGCGGTTTTACTTATCGCGGCCTTTTAGGCTTTCGCTAGCCTCCTGTTAGCCATGTAGCATTAGCTATGAAGGACATGTTTCCCTTTTTGGGATCGCACTGTATGTTTTCGTTTAACTTCTTTTTAGAAATGTCACACTTCGATGTTTTCTCTCTTTAGAGATTACACCTTGTCTTTAAACCAGCTGTTAAGCGATCCCTGGAAGCACAGCCAAGATGCCCAGGGAAGACAGGGCCACGTGGAAGTCCAACTACTTTCTGAAAATCATCGTAAGTATTGATTTATATAATATTTAGGCTCCTTTTATAACCGCATTTCTCTCTGTAATGTCTTGACATGTAGTGGTCTGTTACAGCAACTGTTGGATGATTATCCAAAATGCTTCATCGTGGGGGCAGACAACGTGGGCTCCAAGCAGATGCAGACCATCCGTCTGTCTCTGCGTGGAAAAGCCGTGGTGTTGATGGGTAAAAACACCATGATGCGCAAAGCCATCCGTGGTCACCTGGAGAACAATCCAGCTCTGGAGAAGTAAGTTGATTACATTCTGTCTTTGGTTAAGATCTAGCAGGATATCTACTGTGCAGCTAGTGTGGTGCTGTATTGTCGTTCCCCCTGCTAAAAGTAACATGTCTCCAGCTATCCCTGTCTGTTGGCTTTACCCAACTGCTAGGGACGCAAGGTCTCAGACACTTAACAGTTTTGTTGCGTTAAAACCATTGCTTATATTACAACTTTATAATTTCAGATGGTTTAAATTCACAGGCTCCTGCCCCACATTAAAGGGAATGTGGGATTTGTCTTCACCAAGGAGGATCTGACTGAGATCCGGGACCTGCTGCTGGAGAATAAGGTAAACAATCAATAGGTATTCAATTTTTTGATCTATTAATCTAGAATTAAATTTCTGTATTAAAAAGCCTACATGTGCTAAAATCTAAGGTTTCTACATGTGTAGAAAGGTGACAGTATATGCATGGTTTATAGTGACCTTTCATACCTTAACTTGGAATATACCAGATGGAAATTTATGAATTTTTAATGGTGCTTTGGGTCAAATAAAAAGTTCACGTTAAAAATTACAACATTGTGTATTTTGGGATTATTTTTTTTTTACTGTTAACATGATGATTAAAAGGTTATGCAAGAAATGTTCATCTCATAGTCTATGTGCAGGATAAGTTACAATGCAGCCTGTGCAGTACTGTATTGTCGTTCCCCCTGCAAACAGTAACCTGTTTCCTCGCTATCCCTGTCTCTCATTTCCCTTTGACTGTCAGGGACGTAAGGTTTCAAACACGCTGGCTTTAACATAATAGTTTCTAAATTGGTCGTAGCGGAAAGGATAAACCGTTACCATTTGATTATAGGTACCTGCAGCTGCCCGTGCTGGAGCCATCGCCCCCTGTGATGTGACGGTGCCAGCCCAGAATACTGGACTGGGTCCTGAGAAGACTTCTTTCTTCCAGGCTCTGGGTATCACTACCAAAATCTCCAGAGGAACCATTGAAATCTTGGTGAGTTTTTTGTTGTTTTGACATGGTTAATTAAATGTATAAACGGTGAAGCTGTTGTTCAGGACTTATTTAGTCACACATCTAATAAGCCATTTTCCTGTCGTAGAGTGATGTCGGCCTCATCAAGACTGGTGACAAGGTTGGTGCCAGCGAAGCCACGCTGCTCAACATGTTGAACATCTCGCCATTCTCCTTCGGACTTATTATCCAGCAAGTGTATGATAATGGCAGTGTGTACAGCCCTGAGGTGCTCGACATCACTGAGGCTTCCCTGCATGCAAGGTTCTTGGAGGTGAGATGTTAATCTGAAAATGTTATTAGAAGTACTTTTTGGCAGATGTTTCACTAATGAATACAAAATCTAAATCTTGTAGGGTGTGAGGAACATCGCCAGTGTGTGCCTGGAGATTGGCTATCCCACTTTGGCTTCAGTCCCCCACTCTGTCATCAATGGCTACAAGAGAGTCCTGGCTGTTGCTGTGGAAACGGATTACTCCTTCCCCCTGGCAGAAAAGGTATTTTTTTTTTGATTTACTTGGTGCATTGAAATTTGCAGGAAAGGTTTCAGTGTTGCCTGTAAAGTGCTACACTGTCGATCAACCTGCAAAAAAGAACATGATTTTATGAAACCTTGCCTGCTGAGCTCTGTGGTGAGACAAGGTCTTAGTTTCCGACAGCAGTGATTGAAATTGAATGTTCTTTCCCTAAAATGAGTGGAATTTACCCTGCAACATTTTTTTTTTGTCCATGTCCACAGGTTAAGGCTTACCTGGCTGATCCTACTGCCTTTGCTGCTGTCGCAGCACCGGCAGCTGCTGCAGAGACTGCTGCAGCTCCAGCTGCAAAGGAGGAGGTTAAGGAGGAGTCCGAGGAATCAGACGACGACATGGGCTTCGGTCTGTTCGACTAAGATGAATACAGCGAATGGAACCAGTTTCGATCAAAAAGACCATGATTCAATAAAGTTTATTGAAACTAAAAGTTCAGTGTCATTCTATGTAAGCAGTTGTAATTTCCTGCATGTTGACTGCAGATTTTATTAAATTGTTTAAAGAACCGGAAATCTCAAGCCCTTGCAGCAGATGTTTGAAATGGCAAATTTAGAACATTTTGGTGTTACCCTAGAGTGTTTTCAAGCGCAACAGGTTATAAAATTCAATAAAAACAAAAGGGATTTTGGTGAAAGTCTTAGCTGACAGAAAGTTTCCTTATAGTCGTATTTTACTTTGAAAACCCCAAACCGGAAGTAGTGAGATACGGATGCGCTGTGGCTACCACACGGGCGTCCGCCATGGCTGAGGTAAATGTTGGTTTTAACGCAGTTTAAAACGTTTCAGAACAAACATTTGTCTCGAACAGCGTTTAAGATGGCAAAAACCATTTTGTTGGGAGGGTTTAATAATTTTTTTTACCTGACGGACGGCTAAAATGACAAGGGCTAACCTATTTTAGCTAACGGCTGTCGTTGGCGAGAATCCTGACTTCTGTTTTCATTTTTGGTCATGGATGGTAATTTTCGTTGATCCAGGAAGGTTTATTCCCTCGCGTTCTATGGCTTTCTCAAATAATCAGGGTTGATAACGCAAATATCTTCCCCTCAACCAGCGGCGTATCCATAAATTTACCGGCTGGGCCTCAAGGGGGCCCCGGTGATGGAGGATGGTTAACCAGTGTTTCTGGCTGAATCTGTTCATATTTAATGTTGGCTTGACTTGTCGGAGACATTTGGGTTTCTTTCTGAATCGATTCGTGAGCAGTGAATGTGCAGCAGTGGTAAAATGTGAATTTGGTGTGTGTGTGTGTTGTGTGTATATATATTTGCAGGGTATGGTTAGCCTCTACAGCATTTATCTTGATGTGTGTGTGTATATATATTTGCAGGGTATGGTTAGCCTCTACAGCATTTATCTTGAATGGAAAACATCTAAGATAATTTCTGTTTAGAATTATTTATAGATCCCTTTCCAACCAAAAAATAAATAAAAAATGTATAAGCAAATTGCACATTAACCACATGGAGAGGTAGAGGTGCCTAGCCTGATAAACCAGACTAAATGTGACAAATATGAAATTTAGTCTGACCCTGATGAATGAGACAGATTGTTGATAAACAACCCTGATTATTTTTAAACCATGGCTGCGCCTATTGGCCAACGCTCTGACCAATAAGCGCAATTGACTGTGACGTAGGAAGTGGAACAGAAAGCTGGTGGGGGGGTGTAAACAAACAGCCTGTCGGTAAAACGGCGAATACGCCCTTCTTAAAAATGAATGTGTAGAGCCTCTTCCTGCTCACGTTTCAACGAAAACCCCAAGTCTAATCCTTCCAAAGCTGAATCAAACAACTGTTCAATAGCTTTTGCCATCTTCCTTGTTGTGCTTCCTCCAGTGTCACGCAGCTTTGTCGTCCCGCCCGCTTTGCATCCAAAAATTCACAACACATCTCTGCGATGTGATTGGCCCGCCAGTTCTAGGGCCTGGAGCGTTGAGAGGCTAGAAGTTTTTTTAATGAGTTGCCTTTCATTTTTGATGTAAAAACAAGAGAAACTAATCATTTTAAGTCTTCATCTAGCAGGTGTGTAAATATTTTTTTAAATTAAAAAAAGGCACAATTTCAGCATAAGGATTTTGGTGAATCAGCCTCCTGTAGGTTATGTTCTTGGCTCGTGTGTTTATTAACCTGCCTAATGTGTTATTGTTCCAGACCCACAGCTTACAGGACCTCCAGCAGCCAGCTGTGTCCTCCAAGGTCTTCATCCAGAGAGACTACAGCTCAGGAACAATATGCAAGTTCCAGACCAAGTTCCCCTCCGAGCTTGAGTCGAGGGTATTTTATGGTTAATGTGGTTCTTTATTTTCAGTTTTGTGAAGAGATGTCAGAACTAAACTGTTGGTGTTTTTCTAGCTTGATAAGCAGCAGTTTGAGGAGACCATGCAGACACTGAACAACCTATATGCTGAGGCAGAGAAGCTTGGGGGGAAATCTTATCTGGAAGGCTGCTTGGCTTGCCTGACTGCCTATACCATCTTCCTCTGTATGGAGACGCACTATGAAAAGGTGACACCGGGATACCCTCTGTGGCCTGCGTTTTTTCTTGTGTCAAGTTTCATGCCGCATTATTTTTTAATTCTGATTTTCACTGGTTTTATGTGTAGGTGTTAAAGAAGATTGCCAGATACATAAAGGACCAGAATGAGAAGATTTATGCTCCCAGAGGCTTACTGCTGACTGACCCCATAGAGAGAGGCCTCAGAGTCGTATCCTGAACTGTGCTAATCAAAACACACATATAGAATTATTCAGATTCAAATTTCTGATTAAATCTGGTAAAGGTTTAACACAGCAGAGACCTAAGAAAAGTTAAAAAGTCAACCCTGATTGAACTAGGGTTGACTTTTAGACTTGACTGACTGATTTGTTAATAAAGGATTGATTTGTTGATAAGTGTTTATATCCAGTAAATGGACTGTATGTCTAACTCCACTACTTCCTCATCTTCAGCCAGTTCCTTTGTTTTCTGTCTTTAATTATTGGAGAAACTGATCAATCTAAGCGTGTCAGTTTAATATCCTCATGATTAATGAGGTCAGACACACTGGGGTTAATCCAGAAATTAAAGACATGAAACAAAGGAGCTTCCTGAAGTTCAGGAACTCGTGGATTTGGTCATATGGCCTATTATTATTTCTGTAAACCATTAATAAATCAAAACCTGTTATATAGATTATACAGACACATACTTGTCTTTGTAATCTTTCTGTTAATTATCACGATTTTCTACTTAGAGTTTATGAAAACACAACATTTGAACTTTGTCAAACATTTCTCTCATGATATAAGACACGCACTCAAATGTGTTTGTGTTATTGTCCTTAACTGACCCTTTTTTTTTCAGGTTGAAATCACCATCTTTGAAGACAGAACTATCAGCTCTGGAAGATAAAACATTTTTTTTCTGATGCAACGACGTGTGAATTGCCTTCCATACTCCTGAGGGTCCGATGAGTGTGTTCCCATTTTAACATGCAAATGAAATGGCAAAAATGGCATCCTTCCCTCAAAAGAGAGAAAAGCATAAAAAACAACAGTTGTGATCAGTAGTTGCAGGACAAATCGACAGGAATGAACTGAAATACACTTTGCATTCAGCATTTTTCTATTTTGGAACACGATTTAGCTCTATTTCCTACTTCGGTTTATAGCCTGGTGTCTGATCAGATACTCCCCATCTAAACATAAACCTCAACCTTAGAAATATAATTTCAATGTGATCCTTTTTTTCTTGTGATTTAAATACCCCTTTGTTTACTGCTTTGTTTCTACATTCCTGTTCTCATCTTTTTATACTCAGGATGTGTGACTTTATAAAATGTGCCATTTTGTTCATTGCCTCCTCCATGTCGGTTTTGATAGCGTAAACATACAGATTGTGTTTAGATTTTAGAGCCAATTTGTGAACACAACAGTCATTTGATGGCTTCAACCATGGCTTAACCCGTGTTTCCTTTGTGTGAAAGAATGTAAGGGTTTGTTTTCAGGGGTTGAAGGCAGAGCATATTTACCAAGTCATTTATGTGGCATCATACTAGACTTATCATATCCAACTGCATTATACGTCACGAGTACCACCATATTATTCATTAGCATTAACCAGCGTAGTCAGTTAGGAAGCTCCATGGCACATCGTTGCCATTTTGTTTGTTGGATACTTGTCCATGATTGTCATGTTTTATTTAAATAAATTGAATTAAGCTGAGATCCTGGTCTTTTTTTTTTGTTGTTCTTTATTTACACATGTAGGGAGATAGTGGTTTAAATCCATCCAAAATCAATTAAAGCATTTCCGCTTATTACTTCAAAAAGATAAACTCAGAATAAGCTGACGTATTTAGGTTCTTTATGGCATATGGCTGTTCAAAACAAAAACAGGGTTTCTCAGTGTTTCACATTTTGTATGCACGGTCCATATTTAACAAAGAAATGTGAGCCCACTGAGATCTATGACTGCATAATTGTATATATGTACTCAATACTTCTCTATATATATATATATATATATATATATATATATATCTGCCATCAACACCTTTGTTTGTGGATGTTGGAGATCGGCCTGTTTTTCCAGTGTAGTCCTGTTTCTCTGACCGTGACTGGCTGGAGGTGCTCTCTTCGTCCTCTGACATGGGAGTTGGCTTGGAGCTTGTCTGCCTGGCTATGTATTTCCTGGATGGGGCCGCCTTTAACAGCTGCTTTTGTATCTCTGCTTCTGTCTCCTTGAACCCCAGTCGGCCTCAGCAGATGGCCGCTCACACTGAGCCTGGTTCTGCTGGAGGTT